AGCGGTTCATCTAGGAACTTTACGAGTGATTAAGTTTAAATATTCAGGGACCTGGTGAAGGGGTGGCCGACAGCAGCACCACACCGAGAAGAAGAAGCAGCCAAGCAAAACATGAGCGCTTCTCTTTGGCTTGAAACTCCTGCCCTGGGGCTGCCCCTGCTGGGGTCCCCGCTGCGCGCCGGGGGGCTGCCAGCCCCAGGGGACAGAGCGCAGGCAGGAGGTGTGCGCAGCGCACCCACCGGTGAGACGCTTGTTTGCAGGCGGCTTCCTTTTGAGATGTTTTAGTGTCAAACTGAAGCCGTTGCAAACTGCTTTATGGAATTCTGCAGCTTTTTTTTTTGTTGTTTTTGTAAAGTGATAAGCCTTTCATGCAGAGTTAGCTTCTGGGTGTCCTGCTCGGGGTATCGCCTGTAGGCTGCTTGTAGTAAAGATCAAGCAAACCCTTGACCAGCATGTGAATTACTTGTTTGTGTATCAAAGGTACTTTTCAAAGGATAAGGGAAGCCTGTGTATGGCCTATAAAAGCAAATTTATACTGCTGTTGTTGGACTTGACTGCCTGCGGTGACTGCTGTGTAATCCGCAGTGATAACGCTGTAGCTGCCAGAGACACGGCCGCGTGGCTCGGGTTTGTATATGAAACGCTGGTGACTGATGAGGTCTACAACTTCTCTGTTTTCAACATTCCTCCCCTTTTGGGGATGTTGCTCCATCTTGCTGTGACTCCCATGTCATTTCTGCTCTGCTCACCTGACTCTAAACCCTAAGCCATGTGTTTTCCATATCCGTCATCTTTCTGCGGCCACCTCGTCCCCATGTCCCTCCAGATCCTCCAGCACCCTTGGCGCGTTGCTCCAGCTGATGTCTGACCATCCCTCCGGCCCCTTGAAAGAGTCCCACAGCCTGGACATCAGTGCAGAGCCACAGCACCCAGGTGTCCGTTCTGGGTCAAACCAAAGGCACATCTCTTGGTGCCAGGGTCACGCAAGTGCTCGGGGAAGGTAATTTGGAGGGTGGTATCTGCTGGCCAGTGGCAGGCAAAGGATGTCCCGGGAAATGGGGAAATGCAGTCATCAAACGTGTCCCCCATTCACCTTGTGGTGTTCTTCCCATAACTTCCTCTCTCTGCCTTTCCAGCTTGCCTTCCTGGATTTTACAAGCTTTCCCTCCGTCTCGCTCTCTGCTCTCCTTGCCCCGAGCACAGCTTCGCGCATGAGGAAGCCTCCACGTTCTGTTCGTGCCAGAAGAACTACTCCAGGTCCCCGTCAGACCCACCATCTGCCTCCTGCACACGTACGTCTCGCTGAAACGGCATCTCTTTGTAAGGCGAGGAAACCGGGATGCAGACGCTGGGTCTGTCCGGCAGCGCAGAGCCGAGCGGGGGCCCAGGAGCCTGCCCGGGGCTGTCCCCTGCAGCACGGTGTCCAAGCCCACGGGGCACGCGTGTCCCTGGGGGTCCCGCTCTGCGCTGGGGTACTGCTGTGGTGGGCAGGGGATGGAGGGGCTGTCGCTGCGCCCCGCAGCTCGCAGGATGAGGCTGCAATCTGCTGAGACGGACGCGCGGTCGGGCTTGCAGACTCGCTGGTAAAACTAGGGCACAGTCACTTAGTCAATATAGTTCACAGATTTTAATTAAATAGCCTCTAGTTAATAGGATTGGACCCCAGCTACTCCAGTGATGGATGCCGTAGAGCTGCCTGCACAGCGATGACAAATCTGCCCGCGCGTGGCCGGGCACTGTCCGGCTGGCAGCGGGGTGCCCGGTTGCTTGGGCACCGAGCCCCGGGGAGGTGCCCGGTCCGGTTGGGTACTTCTCACGCGCTGTGTGAGCTGTGGCTTGCTGTGTGTAACATGTCCTTCCGGCGGGATCAGCCGTGTCCCCACCGTGCTGCATGCATCGCTGCGGCCGTGTCCTCTTGCACTACCGTGAGCTGTGGCTGCCCGGGGCCGCGCTCTCTCACTCGGCCGCTGGTGCCTGTGCTGCTGCTCCCAGGGCACCCGTAGGTTTGCTGTCCCCCCAGGCAGTACCCTGCTGTCCCGGCGCCTGTGCACAGACCCTCTTCTGCTTCCAGGTCCACCCTCTGCCCCGAGGAACCTGGTCTACAGCCTGCGGCAGTCGTCGCTGGTCCTGGAGTGGAGTGCCCCTGCCGACGCGGGCGGCCGGAGCGACCTGACCTACAGCCTGGGGTGTGGCCGGTGCCCGGCGGCACCACGGTGGCGCCGCTGGCGGGAGGGC